CTAAACTAACTTTATTTATACTGGATAGCTCTATCAGTTCTAAACTGTTCTTCCTAGAGGTCCAGTAAGGATTATCTCTTATTGATCCAGTGTTACTACAAGAGGCAACCTAAACTAACCTAACTTTATTTATACTGGATAGCTCTATCGGTTCTAAACTGTTCTTCCTAGAGGTCCAGTAAGGATCATCTCTTATTGATCCAGTGTTACTACAGGAGGAAACCTAAACTAAACTAACTTTATTTATGCTGGATAGCTCTATCAGTTCTAAACTGTTCTTCCTAGAGGTCCAGTAAGGATCATCTCTTATTGATCCAGTGTTACTACAGGAGGAAACCTAAACTAAACTAACTTTATTTATACTGGATAGCTCTATCAGTTCTAAACTGTTCTTCATAGAGGTCCAGTAAGGATCATCTCTTATTGATCCAGTGTTACTACAGGAGGAAACCTGAACTAAACTAACTTTATTTATACTGCATGCATGGATAGCTCTATCAGTTCTAAACTGTTCTTCCTAGAGGTCCAGTAAGGATCATCTCTTATTGATCCAGTGTTACTACAGGAGGAAACCTAAACTAAACTAACTTTATTTATACTGGATAGCTCTATCAGTTCTAAACTGTTCTTCCTATAGAGGTCCAGTAAGGATCATCTCTTATTGATCCAGTGTTACTACAGGAGGAAACCTAAACTAAACTAACTTTATTTATACTGGATAGTTCTATCAGTTCTAAACTGTTCTTCCTAGAGGTCCAGTAAGGATCATCTCTTATTGATCCAGTGTTACTACAGGATGAAACCTAAACTAAATTAACTTTATTTATACTGGATAGCTCTATCAGTTCTAAACTGTTCTTCCTATAGAGGTCCAGTAAGAGTCATCCCTTGTTGACCCAGTGTTACTACAGGAGGAAACCTGAACTAAACTAACGTTATTTATACTGGATAGCTCTATCAGTTCTAAACTGTTCTTCCTAGAGGTCCAGTAAGGATCATCTCTTATTGATCCAGTGTTACTACAGGAGGAAACCTAAACTAAACTAACTTTATTTATACTGGATAGTTCTATCAGTTCTAAACTGTTCTCCCTAGAGGTGCAGTAAGGATAATCTCTTGCTGATCCAGTGTTACTACAGGAGGAAACCTAAACTAACTTTATTTATACTGGATAGCTCTATCAGTTCTAAACTGTTCTTCCCATAGAGGTCCAGTAAGGATCATCTCTTATTGATCCAGTGTTACTACAGGAGGAAACCTGAACTAAACTAACTTTATTTATACTGCATGCATGGATAGCTCTATCAGTTCTAAACTGTTCTTCCTAGAGGTCCATTAAGGATCATCCCTCATTGATCCAGTGCACTATAGGAGGGAACCTATATGTATCTGTCTTTCATCTCTGTAATTGAGGTTTGATTCCAATGATTCCTGCAATGTACAGTTGCTTCCAGTTTGACTACGAAACGCCGCATGTACTCCAGTTTCCTGGACTATTGGGGACCAGCCCTACTGGAGGCTCTAGGCAAAACAATTAAAAACTGATAAAGTCAGTCTATAGTTCACTAATCACTGTACCACCAGCATTCCTACTTAAAGTGTAAAAACCTAAACAGCAATTTGTTTACATATAGTGCAACAATACAACTGCGAGAAACAATTCAACCACGAAAGATTGTCAGAACCCTCCAAAGAAAACTATTCCTGGATTTAATACTTTAAGGATTAGCAAAAATTTAACAGTAAGTCAAAACATATAAAATATTGCTAGGGGTTAATACGAGTTACAGGATAGACTTGCTCCAAGTCTCTCTTTCATTGTCATATCGATCCACTATAGTGTACATTACATGACGTAGCACGGAGAGGCGGAGCGAGAAAGAGAGACTTGTC